GGATCGAACCACCGACCTTCTGGTTAGTGGCTGACCTGCTCTGCCACCTGAGCTACAGCCACCCCAAAAAAGTTAGGGTTGATAGTAAGGTACCCTGCTACAACGTACCCTAACTGGCTCATGTCAACACTTTCATAAAGTCTAGCTTTGCCCTTCTACGAGAAATGAACTTTCAAATATATCCATATTCTACAACAGTTTCAGAAAGTCCCCTTGTCATGACCACGAAACAGTGGCCTTGTGTAGACAGAAGGCCAAGCTGGAGAGTAGGGTGCATCGTAAAATGTATCTGAATTACTTCGGACATTGCCTAGGGCAAACAACTTACAACAAAAACCTCTGTGCAACATAGCATGAAGATGACACACTGAGCAGCCCAAATGCAAGTACACACATTCTTCTCACTCAAACAAATGGCATGTCATCCCAGACACAAGTGAGGACATTCTTTCCTGTAAACAATGGCCACAACATGAATTCTTGATCTGCCAGCAGCAGACAGTGAAACACCAATAACCATGGCGACAGGATGTGAAACGAATGCTGGGCATTGTAGGCATGACGGCAACACTCAAAAATGGTGGGATGGTATGACTCTAACTGGACGGCGCCCATGAAAGGACACTGCTTTAACTCAAGTATGAAGTAACCTGTTGAAGTTGGATCACATTTCAATATGGCTGTGGTAGATCTGCACAGCGCTTCCTAAATGCATGTGGCCTGCTTACGCCTCGTCCCTTGAGACTGTGTGTAAAACGAGAACACTGCTTGACAGGTTAATGTATGCAACTGGAATGAAATAATACCCAAATACTCAGTTGACTCTGTACTTCACAGACACTCTGTTTTATATAGAGACTATTGGTTAACTTTATGTACCTACAACCACAAAAATCTTAACATTATTTTTTTCCACTTATAAATAAAGAACAGCAAAGGAATAATAAGGTTAAAAGTTTGACCTTCTGAAATATATTTTATATTCACGGTATCCGTTTCTATTTATGGAGACATCTACATATAAACCTTATAAATAAACATTATAAATAAATATACCTGTTAACACTGTTGTAGAGTCTGTTGTTGATGATTACGTAGGTGAAGTCAATAGAGCCAACTCAGAATGTAAAACTCTTGAAGTAAACTATACATGAGATAAACTGCATTTTCTTTTAGTTTTGCTAGCTATTATAGTATTGTTTAAAATACTGAATTCTATTGTATTATTTATTTGTATTTATGGTTTCCAAATGAAGACATTTTTATAAATACTCCTTAATGTAACTTTTTTATACCTGTTTTTTATACCTGGCACAATACTCGCTAAAGGTGGTAAGTCATAAAAAAAAGTATGTGTTTTCTCAGTATATTCCTCTGAAATGCTAAACCAAAGAGATGTAGA